ACAACATGATTATTACAAATATAAACATACTCGTATTACAAATTAGTTAAGAAAAAAATATGTAATTTTGACGTCTACCATCCAGAGTTTCAATAGAAAAGTTAAACTAATTTAACTTCTCTATTGAAACGGCTTTTCTATTGACACATTTCTTTGACTTTTTAACAATATATGGTTAGTGGGTGCATGCTTGCGTGTGAAGTATGTGGGAAAGAATTATTTGATTGTATTTAAAAAAAACTGTGGTTGCCATCTCGCTCGTAAAGCGTGGTAACTATAGCAATATACCCTCAATGATTAATATTACGAAAAGACGGCCCCAAGTCCTCGATGGCCCCGCTATTCCTGGCTACCGTGGCGACCATGGTGACGGCGGGGCAGAGGGTGCTAATAATCTCCGGTGGTCGTTCGGTTGCCACCTAAGACGACTCGACCTGGCAACATCTAACGCACCTTGAGGACTGACGAGAAGACTCTGGAGCTGGAAGTAGAGATAGACAAGTTGCGCTGGAATATTATGGAATTATCTGAGGAGGAGGACATGGCAATTCTCGAATCCGACAACTTGTTCTATCACTGGGGGGGGGGGGGGGGGGGCAACCATCTGTCCCAAGGAGGTGTCGGATTTATCGTCCACAAGTCTCTCGGTTTTGTTTTATCTTTATTTCCCATATACAAGTATATCAGTTAACAATATGTCTATTTATAAACTACAAAGAAATATTTAATCTTATAAAATGAAAATTAGCATCCATTGCCGAACTAGGCCAAAACCTGCATTTCAGCATATGGCGCCACTCCACATACATAATAAACCTAAATTATTTATTTAAATTACGGAAAATTTACATATATATATATATATATATATATATATATATATATTTATATGTGTGTGTAAATATATATCAGTTAACAATATGTCTATTTATAAACTACAAAGAAATATTTAATCTAATAAAATGAAAATAAGCATCCATTGCCGAACTTGGCCAAAACCTGTATTTCAGCATATGGCGCCACTCCTCAGACATAATAAACCTAAATTATTTATTTAATTACGGAAAATTTACCAAACTTTGTTCTTTATATTACATATTATGTGGTATAAAGAAATGCGAAATAGAAAAAAATATGTAAAATGTAACTATGTTAGGTGTCGTTAATAATATTTTAAATATTGAGAGTGTGTCGTCGACGAGGGTTGCGTACCTTATACTCAAAATCACCAAACGGTATTTGCTGAAGGTCATACAGGTCTACGCACCAACTTTGGCACATCCCAAAAAGGAGGTGGAGGAAATGTATGGGATATATCTAGTGCAATGAATCCCTCCAAAACCCATTATTAGGTGTTAATGGGAGACTTCAACGCAAAACTAGGCACAAAGGGGACGGTGAGCTGAAGGTGGGAAAATTTGGAATAGCGTAACGGAACCATGGTGGCCAGCAGCTGGCCGACTTCATGGAGAAAAAAGACTCTTTATGATGAACTCTTTCTTTCAGTAGCGGGCCCACAGGAAGTGGGCCTGGTCGAGCCCCGACGGTTCGACAAAAAATGAGATTGAATTCACAATGAGGACCAGACGACAACTGTTTTATGGTGTTTTAGTGATCGCGAGGATGAAAACCGGCAGCGATAACTGAATGGTGAGAAGCACACTGAACGTAAACTTTAGGTTGGAGAGGTCACGTCTAATAAATCAATGCTCCATCCGCCTCGTGCTCTAATCCCATGTCCCGAAACCTTTCAGCTCGAGCTACGAAACCGTTTTCAGTGCCTAACAGATTGCAATACAGTGGACGATATGAATGACAAGCTTGTGGAAACTGTACATGCGGTCGTAGCTAAAGACTCGCCGCAAAAGAGCTCAAAAACTCTCTGATCATATTCTTAATCTCATGGCTTTTAGACGGGAAATTAAGCTGCCGTCTTCAGTAGATGTGACCTTATACAGGCAACTAAAAAAACAGATCTCCAAATGCATGCGTCGGGACTTACGCAACTTTAATACTGCTCGTATTGAAGAAGCGATCGAGCGAAACCAAAGCTCCAAAATTTTTGCTACACATCTGTCGACAAGAGAGACAACTGTCGAAGCTGATAACCGAGTATGGCAGCGTCGTTTCCAGGACACCTGAAAATTTGAGTGAAATTGAGAGGTTCTATGGACAGCTCTACACATCATCGTTGGAGCCACACGCAAGTGTGAGTAACGATCCAATAGCAAGTCTTATCTGACACTATTCCGATTATATTCCGGTTGTCAGTCTGAGTGAAATTAGAATGGCTCTCCAGCACCTTAAAAACGGCAAGACCCCAGACGAGGATGGAATTACAGCGGAGCTTCTGAAAGCGGGTGGAAAACCGTTACTTAAAGCCCTTCAGAAGCTCTTTAATTCCATCCTCCATGGTGGAACTTCACCGGAGGCGTGAAGCAGAAGTGCGGTGGTCTTGTTTTTCAAGAAAAGTGACAACGCTCTTTTGAATAACTACAGACCGATTTCCCTTCTGAGCCACATCTACGTGCTGCTTTCGAGAGTCATTACGAATCGTCGCGCATGCAGACTCAACGACTTCCAGCCTCCCGAACAAGCCGATTTCCGAAAAGGCTTTAGCACCATAAATCACATACATACCCTTCGGCAAATTTTACAGAAAACCAAGGAGTACAAGTTGTAACTATGTCTGGCATATGTGGACTTTGAGAAGGCCTTTGATTCCGTCGAAATTTGGGCAGTGCTGCAGTTCCTTCAGCGGTGCCAAGCTGACTGTCAATATATATAAGTGCTGACGTGTCTGGACAGTAGGGCTACGATGGCTATCCGAGTACAGAACTAGAGCATGAAACCTATCTTACTACAGAGAGGTGTAAGACAGGGTGACTTAATATCCCCGAAACTTCACCGCTGCATTGGAAGACGTTTTCAAGCTTCTGGACTGGAAAGGATACGGTATTAACATCAACGGCGAGTACATTATTCAACTTCGATTTTCTTACAATATAATCCTTATAGCAGAATCGCTGGAGAACCTAAGCACTATGCATAATGACCTTAAGAGTGCATCCCAACGGATAGGTCTTAAGACGAACATGGACAAAACAAAGATCATGTATAACGTCCATGTCATACCTATGCCGGTAGTTGTTGGGAGCACTAAGCTCGAAGTTGTTGACGAGTATACTTACTTGGGACAAATATTTCACTAGGTAAGTTTCACTTTGTCCGAGAGGTCATTCGACGGATTCAACTCAACTGGGCAGCGTTCGGGAAATTACGGCACATCTTCTCGTCAGGTATACCTCAAAAGTTGAAAACGAGACTGTACAACCAATGCGTGTTGCCAGTGATGACCTATGGAACTGAGTCGCGATTCTCCACTGCTGGCCAGATGGGGAAGCTCAAGGTCGCTCAGTGGGCTATGGAGTTTCTCTAGGGCTATGCTCGGAATTTTCCTGCGTGATAAACTTAGAAACGAGGATATCTGTAGTAGAACCAGAGTGACCGACATAGTCCAACGGATTAATTAATAATTGGAGTGGCGATCTGGTAAGACGTGCAGGAATTCAATGGATGCAGGTGGCTCAGGACCGTGTCTTGTGGCATTCCTTGGGAGAGGCCTACGTTCAGCAGTGGACTTGTGAAGGATTGTAATGATGATGATAATTTAAAAAAAAAAGGTTTTTTAACGTTTTATACCTGATTATACGTCAGATTATAAAGCTAATTGTCTACAAGAGCTTCTGCATTTGTAAAAAGGTTTATTACTTTACTCCTCTGAGGTGGAAATGCTTCGTCATTTAACACATAATAAATCTAGGTTGTTATAGGCCATAGTAGCTTTCCTTACTTATTTTTATAATTATAGATATTTTTGTTATAATTTTATAATTTAAACAATTTATCGTCTTCGAAGCATACTCTTAAGCATTTAACTCATTTAATTTAATCAATATAATTCAAGACGTTGTATCATGCTGAACATTTGATCAGTAAGGCGAGTGGGAGGTATAGTCACCACAAGGGATGTAGACAGAATCACATCCACACCTATTCTTTTTATTAAATATTTGTCTTTCCTCCCTTTTTCGCGTTTATTGGCAACAGAGCACACAGTTTAATTTTACGCTCGAATCTGCGCAGACCTACATAAAATTTTAGGGTCAATAAACACGCATTCGGTACGAAAGAATATTCAGTTGTTTTTGTTCCAATAAAATAGTACATTTGCTTGTGTTTACTTGCGTTAATTGTATTTTTTATCACACGACAAGCAAGGCTTTGACAAACAACCTGATAGCTGTGACCGTTGTTGTTCATGAATATTATGCACACAATTATAAATAAACATGGTCGGTACGAATAAGTTACAAAGCTACACTTAGAACTTAGAAGATATTATTTAAGTAATATAAAGTTTGTTTTTGATACATAAAATAATTCTCCACTAGATTACATTTTTAAGAATGGTGACATCAAACATACAAGTGCCAGTTCACTAGATGATAAGTGGATGCCAATAAAAACCTACATATATCAGTCCTCAATTATGAATCAAAGTCAAAGCCCAATTTTTTTATTTAACACTAGAGTACACGCGCGGCCTACTATAATAGACCAGGGTAACTCTTTTTTTTAATAAGATTTTAGGTTAGAACGCTAGAAGCTAGTGATTACAGGTAAGCCTCGTCTGGTATATTTGTCACAACCTCAATACCCCGCACGAACCCAGCGCGTACGTATGTAAAAGCAATTTGGCGCCAAAAGCGTGGGCCTACTAAAGTAATATGCGCGTGTATTGGTGTACCAAATTCAGTTATGTAACTTTTCGTGTATTATCTATTTATAACGCTATTATAATATCATTTACTTATTAATAATGTATTTATGTGTATGTATATTAAATTATTATTATTTATATATTGGCTACAATTTGTAAAATGTATATTTTTTTCTTATTTTTGTATTTTTTACAGATTTATATATTAGATTACATCATGGATGATTCACAAGTGGAAAGATGGCTGCATGAGCTAGATACTGAAGACGTAGAAGTGATTGAGAGTGAAGATGATGAAGTTCAGCCACAACCCGACTTGCAGGCCCTAGTTCGCGAGTTAGAACTCCGTGAATATGAAGAGGAAAGATTGAGCGAATCTGACAAACCATCAGGCTCAGATGACGTTCCACTCTCACAACTAGCAACCAGAAGGCGCGGTTCAGTCGGAAAATTACATGGTGAATAATTATAATTATACCTTATTATCCAACGAACGAAGAGTCCGCCCTTTGTATTCCTTTAGATTAAAGAATGCAATAAATAATAAATAAATAAAAATAAATAAATTCGACGACGTTACCAACAGAGAACAGCGCCGAGAACTTGATAAAATGGCACCAATTCGACATGTTGTATAGTTGGTCACCAACAATTGAGGCAACAACTATGTTTCTAGTGATTATTTGACGCTAGGCGAACAACTTGCCGGTTTTCGAGGAAGTTGTGGCTTCGTAATGTACATACCAAATAAGCAGGATAAATTTGGACTCAATATTTTCATGGTGGTCAATACAAAATTTCCATACGTTTACAATTTTGAGATATATGTTGGCGCCCAACCAAAGGTTAAAAGTCCAACCAAAGGAAGAACACCTCAGATTTTGTAGTGTTATGCTACTTACTTATCATTTTACATTATTTTAAATTCATTTTTCCATTCTGTTTCGATTTTCTGCATTTACTTCAAAACTGGATATTTTACATCACCTTTATTTCCATAGGATCCTGTAACGATTTTAAACCATAAGAACACAATAACAAATCATTTCTACTTCGTATTTTCACATTATCAGCACTTTTAAATTGGTGTCAATGGAGTCTACCTTTTTTCGATCTTTTAGTTAGTTTTCCGTAACTCTACAATTTCGGGCTTTGTGTGGGCAGTTGCGCTACCTTTTTTCCTATATCAATAAGATCTCATTTTCCACTTAAATCTTGCCGTTTTCTTATTACAAGCCTAAAACTAAAATTTGACATGTTTTGATATTGTTGTTTATTTGGTCTCCATAGTAATTATATTCAAATTTGCTACCGATCTGTTGTTCCTATTTCGATAATTCCACATAAATACTCTTTTCTCTTGACCATTTACAAAAAAATTGCGTTTAATTTAAATAATTTTTCCGTTCTCTCTAAAAAGGTATAAAAGCCGAACAATCGGTGAAGAAAGGCAGTCTCGCTCCAGTTCTCGAATTGGAAGCATCTCCTAAAGGCCTTATCCCGGGGCCGCACTGCCTCGGGATCCTGCAAGCCTCCACCTACACGTGAAGTCTTCGGCGAAGCCTTCTTCAAGCGCGGAGCCGCACCACTCCGGAATCCTACAAGCCTCCATCTACCTCGGAAGTCGTCAGAAGTCTACTTCAAGCGCGGGGGCCACACTACTCCGGGCGCTACGACTGCTTACTCAAGGCGCCGAGTGCACCTACCGCCGGCGCTACCTTTGGGCGCTGCAACTGCTGACTCTAAGCGTTGAGCGCACCTACTCCAGGCGCTACGTGCGCCGGCTCCGGACGCTGCGTGTGCTGGCTCCAGGCGCTGCGTGCCGTCGCTGCTAAGAAACCTACCTCTACAAGCGCAACCGGCGTGTGCTGGCTTCAGGCGCTGCGTGTCGTCGCTGCTAAGAAACCTACCTCTACAATCGCAACGTGTGTCGCTTCGACTTTTAGGCTCCACTACAACTCTATATTCCCCTATTCTCCTATCTTTATTTTTTTGTAATCTAATTGTACTCTCACTTCATTCATCATCATCCTCATTTCATTTTTTTTTATAAAATTGTAAATTTCTTTCAATTTTGAATATATTTTTGTTTTTGTTGTATTTTTGTTGTTTTGTTGTTCTTAGGTTAGATTCTTTTTGTACTTCATTGTCGCTTCACGACAATTTGCCGTGGGGATCATCACGATTTGTGATTTCGCCTAGAGCCATTTGCCAGATTGCTCGCCGGACCAGAGAGCAGAATAGATGTTAACCTAGTCGTACTAATAAAGAAAAAAGTATAAATTTTAAGTAGATTATGCATGATACATTTGTATAAAGTAATGAGATTAATCGATTATTGTAAATTAAAGGAAAGCATTTTTAATACTTATTGATACTTATGAGTATTTAAAACAAAATAGGTAGTTTTGATAGTTAATTTAAGAAATACGTTGTGACTTACTAACAAGAAAAACGCTTTGCAAGTATTTTTAAGCTAATTTATTTAAGCTGGTATAGTAGTAAACCAGTAAATTTCGCTTCGTATGAACAGATCTAGTTTATTTTAAAATTAATGAGCTAATGAGGAAACTAGGAAGCTTTTTTGCAATAGTTATGTGTTGCCAAAATAAATAAACAAATAAGACGGTGAAGCATGGCCATTCAACTGATTTTTAGCAAATTAATATTAAAATGGTAATACAATGTCAGTATTATTTCTACTCAAAATATTAATTTTCCTCTGCAGAAAAATTTAACAACGTAACGCGGGTTAAACAAACATGAACGAAAAAACTCAGTGATTATGGACAAACATTATAGCATATCTACCATTCGAGCCATTTTTTATTTAAAAGATACATCATGTCCAGCTTTGAATTAAAAAGCTGTATAGTAGCTTTAAGCTGCTATTTTATTCTGGTATTCTGTGAGAGCGTGGTTCTTCCTTGGTTGAGCCGACCCATTCGTGCTACAATTATACTACTGATATAGTTGCAGCATTGTTTTTCCAGGTATAAAATGTGTGGCGATCATATAAATATTTTTTCCCATCATTTTAATAATACAGTTTCCTAATTATAATTTTATGCGTTGTTTTCTAATGATATAATATATTAAAACTCTTAATATAATTTCTATGGCTTGAAATATGCTCTGCTTTCGAGATTCCTGTAAGTTTATGTTTATTGTCCATTATATTTATTTTGTTATCATTGTGAGCTAACTGATGTTTCTGACAGTGTAGAAAAACCTTTGAGGATTATATAAATGCTATAATAACGTGTGTTTTATGTAACCTGTAATAAAATATAGCATTTTTTAAAATCTCACTACGTCCACATATCATGTGTAAGCGATTCTCATTAACTTAGGTTATAATATTTTTTTACTTTATCATAATGGATAGAATCTGTAATTACAATTACAAGGTTTTTTGCATTTTATATAGTTACAAATTATCTCAAAAACGTAGACAAAATATTTAGTTTTGCCCTCAAATTTATAATGAGTTCGTAATCCCAACTTTCTTTGAAAGGTCGTTTTTTGTTAAAGAATTTGCAAGTTTGAGATACTATTTTAATAAAGAAATATTGGAAATAGTAAGCTAATGTAAATTGTAAATCTTCTGGTTTGGTTTTCTATTCATGTTATCTTTAATAATATATCGTCCTGAATTTATATAGACACAAAAAAAAATTGAGAAAATCTGAATAAGTTTAGACCTTAAAGTGTGTCTGTGTGGTCTCCTCACTATTTTTTCCTTCCTTACCGATAAATCAGATTGCTCACGTGCAATAAATCTGAAGGTAAGCGCTTAGACCCCGAGCTTCTGCAACGATAAGGTGACGATTGTTTTCAGGCTCGTATAAAATACGATCCTACGCCACATCCACCTTTGTCTTACTCATCAATCATCAAGCGGTGACACATTTAAATTAGCATGCCACATGTTTCAATACATTTGTATTTGTGTGAGTGTGTATTCGTACACGAATGTGATATTTACGTGTCGGAAACAAATCTTGATATCGACTCCTAATCAAATTTATTTGCCAAATAATTGCATAGGAATCATTTATTCAAAAATCCGTTAATATTATAAGTGTTATATTTTAATTTTATTATTCTTTACAATGAGAAAGCTGGGTCATAAAGAAGCAAAAGAAAACGCTAAAACGACCCCAAGGTATCCGATATATAGCGATATTTCATTTCGTAAAATATGACGGTAAGTGGCGTTAAAGGTGCGAAATATCTGGCAAATTCTTTCTACATTATATAGAACACAATACGCAATTGTTGACATTTTAATGTATTACTTCTGACCAAGAAATAAATGTATTATTATACAATATGAATTTTTCTAAACGTTTCTTGAAATGTTAGTATGGGTATGATATAAATAGTTATTTTATTTTATTAAATTTATTTATATACTCTTATTACTGGAAAAGAGTCATTCCATCTTAGTCCTCAAGTGTCAACACATCTGCATTTTTATTCTCAATCGAGAATAGATTTAAATGTCTATGAGCCACAACATCTACTTAAATTCAGGTGGACTGTATGCTCGTTTTTCACCCATATTCTGCAAAAAAAAAAGGCGCCCACACCATTCAAGATACTCAAACACGACATTGTGTGTTTATTTACTAATTTAGCATCCAATACAGTTCTCGTAGATAAACTCTGCTCGAACAAACTTTTATAGTTGAGTTGTTATTGTAAACCCACTCTACCAAATGCCAAATTAACTAATCCAGATCTTCCTTTGTCAAATTCAATGTAAACAACTTCCTGAATTATTGATCAGTCATGAGTCTTTTCAATTTATTTTTGGACTAAGTGCAAAGTTGCACTTATGTCGGTATTTTACAGGTTACTTTTCTTAAAAATGCGCTCTCCATCGTCCATGTTTTTGACATTTAAATGACAAAACCTAAACAATATAGAAGTTATCTAATTATTTCACTTAATATAATATCTTTTTGCCAATAAATTGAATTTGTCGTGACTTAACGGTTAAACCCTATTGCCAGTGTAAAGTCAGGGTTTGTCAATTCTTTCGGTGGTTACTTATCATAGCAATGTTTTTTGGTGCCAATCAGTCGGTGGTCATAACCATGTTTGTTAGCCAGCAGTATGCACCGCGCTCTGGTGAAGTTCATAGGTAGAGTGAAAAATTTACTTCACGTAGAGCTGAAATTATAATTAATTATATTATAATTATAAATAAATATAATAATACAAGTCACTTCACAAAAGAAGAAATATTTAGGAACACCTTGGAGAAAATTGTACTTTACAAAGTCTAACCTTATTCATATATTCTGAAAAAAAAATCAATTTTTGTTTCTTTATAAATTTAAGACGAAATATTATTAAACATGAATAGAAAACCAATTTAGAAGATTGCCAATTTACATTAGCTTTGTCTGCGCCGAACGTTTTATTAAACATTATATGTCAAGTGTCATTTTTGTTCCCCCACCTCAACACACAAATCATTCATCCATCTTACGAAGAACATCGCTCTCACCTATTTTTATTATTAAATTGTGAACCTGCAAATATATTAAATATTTAATCAGACTCCGTGTTTGCATTTATGTCCAATACGAGACATAAAAAATTGGCGACCGTGACAGGACAATATATCAAGAAATAAGACGATTTTTCAAGACGCTTAGGACGCCGGTCAATTACTACACCGCAGCAACCTATCGTCTCAAAAACTTTTTACCACGGGATATTTCGAAGAATAAGCCATTGCAGTCAACGCCGGACAGTGGTAGCTCCGCAGCCAGACCAATGTGCTAAGTGTCTTCCTATAAATTCCCGTCTATACAACCCTAAATTTCCATTTTATCATTATTTCTACTTGTTTGTTTATTTGCAATATATTACGTCATATTTTGAATACTTATATACTAAATTCAACAATATAATTGTCATATTTTAGACAATTCCAACAATTTTCAATATTTTTTTTTCAAAGTGGGTACTTTCATATTATTACATTTCTTTGTTCATTGCGTAAAAATTTATCGTTTTATTGCGTAGATATTATCTGCCCTTCATATATATTATTTCTAGACTTTTCACCACGATTTGCCTAATATTCCAGGGTACGAGCTGTGATCGTACATTACCGTTGGAGCACAACAATTGCAACAATTGCTACGCCTGCCTACCAGGTGACGCCAAGAGGGGAACGTGAGCTAAAATTTATGTTTTTATTTTTTATTGTCCTTCATCATAACATTATTTATTTATTTCTTTATAAATTTAATTAAACTGATTTTAATATATTCAAATTAACTTAAAATTTTTAGTTTAAATTTTCATTTCTTTAAAAATATTTTACTTGCAATTTTAACTTAAAATATGAACAAAATAAAGATTTGGCTACTGAAACAAGTGCTAAAGACATGCAAAATTTGCAAGATTTGCTAGTAAAACGTAGTGCTATAAGGGGAATTAACGTTAAAACTTAACAACTTTGAATCGTTATTAAATAAATTTGATGACTTGCAAAATCAGATAGAGGTATTAAATCCAATTAAATTAGATAGCGAAATTAATGAACAGGACAATATTGAACAATTGTTTTTTCGAACATTGCTATTGCTCAAAGTATTATAAAAGGGTGCCAATCGAAAATTTATAGTAAGGACTGCAATAACGAACCTAATTTTGGTAGCTGTTCTTCAGCTGGTTGTAATGATCAAATAATTTTAAATTGCCACAAATTCAAATCGCGAAATTTGACGCAGCGTACTTTCGCTGGCTCAAATTCCGTGACACATTTTTATCGCTTATTCATAATAACGAGCGTATCCCACCTATACACAAATTCCATTCCCTAATTTATTATTTAGTGGGCGATGCATCTCGTACCATTTCGAATTCGGTAGTGTCAAGTGATAATTACATAACTGCCTGGAATTTATTGTGTGAACGCTATAATAACAAACGGCAACTTATCAATTACCATTTAAATTCTTTATTAAGTCTTCAAAGATTATCACGAGAATCAGTTATGTCACTTCGATTTATGGTTGATCACGTCACAAAAAATTTGCGTGCGTTAGCCAGTTTAGGGCAGCCTACTGATAAGTGGGATGTTCTGATCGTGCATATTATGAGTTCGCGACTAGACAGCCGAACTAAAGCTAAATGGGATGGAATTTCATAAATTTTTAATCGATCGCGCGGATGTATTGGAGTCACTGCAAACTTCATCTAGTACAATTAATAAAAATTCAGGTCCATTGGGATCAATTAATAAACATGATCGACCACAAACAAAATCTTTTGCTTGCACTAGTGAAAATAATAATACCAATTCTTTTTCGTGTGTAGTTTGTCGCGGTGATCATATAATTTATGATTGCGCTAAATTTAAAGCTAAGAATGTAGATGATTGCATATCTGAAGTTAACAAACTAAGGTTATGTTTAAATTGCCTACGCTTTGGCCACAGTGTGCGTGATTGTTGGTTAGGTCCATGCCGCGAGTGCAAGAAAAAACATAACACTCTTTTGCATATACTACTTCCAAGTGATAAAGATTCTGATAAGAATGTTACTACATCCTGTGCTACTAAATCGGAAGAAACCGTAGCCAACATTTTTCAACAAAATTCGACACACGTTTTACTGTCTACCGCAATAATCGAAATATCAAATCCAAATACAAATAAATCTATAAGAGTGAGAGCACTATTGGACTGCGGTAGTCAGTCATCTTTCATAACTCAATCTCTCAAAGAAAAACTATCGTTATAATCATACAGCAACAATGTCATCAATATTATGGGCATTGGAAATAACCATACCAATAAAGCCATTGAAAGTTGTGTAGCGCAACTTCGTTCATTAACTGAACCTTTCAAGGTCAATCATTCCTTTCTTGTGTTACCGGAGCTTACAGGCAATATTCCTAAGTTCCCTATTGACATACAACAATTTAACATACCCAATAATATAAAACTTGCTGACCCTACGTTTAACCATTCTGCGCCTATTGATATACTCATTGGCGCCGAACTGTTCTGGTACATTCTAGGCTGCAAGCAAATCACGCTCGGCCCTTACAATCCTAAACTTAGAAGTTCCAAATACGGATGGTTAATTTCAGGTCTTTATACAAATTCATTTCATAAATCTAATAATATTACTTAATGTCATCTTTTAGCTACATTACCAAATTCTGGTATTGATTACAATAATATCAATATGCAAATGTCCAAATTCTGGGAACTAGAAGAAGTTCCACTAAAACGTCATTTAAACCCCAAGGAGAAGGCATGTGAAGCTCATTTTATTAATCACACCTTTCACCTCGAGTCAGGTCGATTCTCTATCAGTTTGCCCTTAAAAGATTCACCCTCAGAAGACTGTTTGGGTGAATCTTATACTCTCGCCAAAAAACGCTTACTCACTTTAGAAAAACGATTTAGAAAGCAGCCAGACGTCAAATTACAATACATAAAATTTATACGAGAATATGAAGAATTAGAATATCTTACCGAATCAACAATTTCTAAACCAGATCCTTCATATTTTCTATGTCATCATGCTGTATTTAAAAATAACAGTGAGTCAACAATGATCAGAGTAGTCTTTCATGGATCGGCTCCTACATCATCTGGTCATTCCATCAATGACATTCTTATGGTAAGCCCAAATATACAAAAAATTTTGTTTTCTATTCTTATCAGAGCACGTCAACACAAATATATCTTAACCAGCGACGTAGAAAAAATTTATCGGCAGGTTCTTATACATGAGCAGGATAGAAATATGCAACTGATATTACGGAGGGAAGATGAGTCTTTGCCTATGAAAACTCTCACTCTTAACACAGTTACATATGGCATAACGAGTTCTAGCTACTTAAGCACACGATGTCTTTGGCAAATAGGTGAAGAATGCTCAGATGAAAGAATAAAAACTATAATACAACATGATTTTCTAGTTGATGATTTAATTACCGGTAGTGATGACGATTATACTTTAATTTATATTCAACAAGCAGTTACATCAGCACTCAAACGAGGTTGTTTCAATTTAAGAAAGTTCAATACTAATTTACCTTTAATTTTCCACAAACGATGATAATTTAACCCTGAGTGAATCAACTACCACTTTAGGAATAGGATGGGAGCCTACTACTAATGAATTATTTTTTCCTATCCAAAGCTCTCTACCGTCTCATGACAACAATATTACTAAACGGGTTATATTGTCATCATTGTTCAAAATTTTTGATCCTTTGGGATTATTAAGCTCATGTATTATACAAAACAAGATACTCTTGCAACAGTTATGGCGAGAGAAGCTAGGCTGGGATGATCCGGTGCCAACAGACATTAGGAGTGCTTGGATTAAATTTATTCATGCTTTACCTGCGCTCTTAAGACTAAAAATTCCAAGGCGCACTTCATGCGATGAACCTATCTCCATAGAACTTCATTCATTTCGTGACGCCTCCAAACATGCATACTTGCTTATATCTTGCATTTACCTCCGGTCTGTAAATTCCAAAAATGAGATCACAGTCAGACTCCTATGCTCTAAATCTAAGGTAGCTCCAATAAAGCCCATTACAATCCCCAGGCTAGAACTCTGTGCTGCTTTATTAGCCGCCAAGCTATTTGAGGCTGTTAAGACTTCTTTGCGATGTCTCATACAACGTGAGACTCACTGGTGTGATTCTAGTGTGGTGTTGGGCTGGCTTAATAGTAGTTATTAAAATCTTAAAACATTTGTTGCAAATAGAGTTACCGAAATTAGTGAACATAGAGACCCAGCTTCGTGGCGATATGTACCGACTGATTTAAATCCAGCAGATCTCATTTCCAGAGGTGTCAGTCCTGATCAAATAGCAAGCAAAGATTTTTGTGGTCAGGACCTAGTTTTTTTATATCGGCTAGAGAATAATTGGCCTTTGTTATCAAAAACACAACAATTTAATTCAAGAGACCTGCCGGAGACCAAACATAAAACAATTTCGGCCCATGTAACTATTAATCAAAATTGTATAATTTTGTTTGAAAACTATTTTAAATGATTAAAATTAAAACATTCGGTTGCATACATATTACGTTTTATTCATAATTTAAAAAATTCAAATAATCGTATTTCTGGTAGTTTAACCGTCGAGGAACAAAGTAATTCATTTTATCACTTGTGTCGCTTAGCTCAACAGCAGTCATTTCCTGTAGAGTATAATTTGTTGGCAAATGGAAAATCTATTAGTACAAAATCTAATATTTTATCATTATCGCCATTTTTCGATGACAAGTTTAACGTGATTAGAGTGGGTGGCCGCTTAGATGCTTCAGAATTTACCTACGATAAAAACATGCCGTTCTCATTCACTTATCACATCACTTGACCAAATTAATTTTTTAATATGAGCATAGACACAATTTACATGCTGGCTCACAACTATTATTGTCAATAATAAGATAATCTGTTTGGCCAGTCAATGGTAGACATCTAGCGCGGCGCACAATACGTCAATGTGATACGTGTAGACGAATACAAGGAAAAACTATTAACCCAATAATGGGAAACTTGCCATCGCAACTTATTACTCCAAACTTCCCATTTAGAACTGTTAGTATAGTACCTTGCAGGCCCCTTTTTTTAGTCTAAATAGAAAGGGCCGTGGTTCGAAATTAGTAAAATCATATCTTTGTCTCTTCATTTGTCTAAGATATAAGTGCATACATTTAGAGGCCGTTTCCGATCTAACGAAGGATGCGTTTATACTCACCTTCCGTAGATTTGTATCCAGACGAGGAAAGCCAGCAGAAGTATTCTGCGATAAAGACCGCAACTTTGTGGCAGGAGCAAAAGAATTAAACTGTTTTTTTAAGAATCACCAGGTATCCCTTTCTGATTTTGCGAGCGATGAAGGCACAAAGTTAATTTTTTCACCTTCTTACGCACCTCATTTTGGCGGCATCTGGGAGGTAACTCCCATCTAACATTCGAAGAGCTGACCACTCTTTTCGCACAAGTAGAATTAATCTTAAACAGCCGTCCATTATGTCCTCTATCCTCTTCTCCTGATGACCTCCAAGTTTTAACTCCTGGACACTTTCTCATTGGCCGAACTCTCACTGCGCTACCATCACCTGCCCTAGATGATCTCAATAGTAATCATCTTCAACGATACGAACGAATACAACAGATTTATCATCATTTTTGGTCACGCTGGCAACGAGAATACGTCACCGAATTGCAACAGCGCTCCAAATGGGGATATGGTCCTTCTTCAAGAAGATAATGCGCCACCACTCTGCTGGCGTTTCAGACGCGTACAAAATTGTATCCCAGTCAAGACGGCGTGCCACGAGTGGTCGATGTCAATACCGCGAAGAGATGTGTTCGCCGCCCCGTCGTACGTCTATGCCCTCTACCTACTGCAGAAGACTTCAAGGATTAGGAGTTTGAAAGTCATCGCCTTTCAACGGGGGGAAGATGTCTGCGCCTATCGTTTTATTAAACATTATACGTCAAGTGTCATTTTTCTTCCCCCACCTCAACACACAAATCATTCATCCATCTTACGAAGAACATCGCTCTCACCTATTTTTATTATTAAATTGTGAACCTGCAAATATATTAAATATTTAATTAGACTCCGTGTTTGCATTTATGTCCAATACGAGACAAGCTTATTATTGCCAATGTTTCTTTATAAAAATAGTATTTGAAACTTGCAAATTCTTCAACAAAAGACTTACGAACTCGTTATGAAAATGACGGCAAAGCTAAATATGTAGTCTACATTTTTTAGATAATTTCTAACTATATAAAATGAAGAAAAGCCTTGTGAGTGTCATCACAGGTTCCGGCTTCCATTAAAAAAATGATTGTAACCTAAGTTAACGAGAATCGCCTTCAGATATGTGTAGACGATTCTCGTTAACTGAAGTACATACTCGAATTTTTAAAATGCTAATTCAATCGTATCAGAAGAAAGAAATCATTGTCATATATGTATTATAATGAAAGCTATAGATGGTCTTATATATCCATCAAATGACGTTATATACATTCCCATAAAAGCGGAAACAATAATTTAAAAAAATCTTGAAAAAGAATGGCATCATTATGACTTAGTTTAGTTACTGAGACCTTGAATATGTTTATAGGAAAATATATTTTTACGTGTCTTCGTTAACACCTTTTCCATCAATTGCCATGCAGCAAACATTTGGTTCATTTATAGCGTGCTGACATTCAAAAACATATGGATATTAGGACAAAATATCTTGTTCACAAAACTGCGATAAAGCTAAGAAAAATATAATAAATTGAAACTTTTTAAGGGGTACAAATTAATTAGATTGTTGTATTTATTTAATAAATAACCATTGTTTTATAAATTCATTCCTGTTTTTATTGACTTGCGAAACCCTGCCATATATTTTCTTGCACACAGTCCACCTGATGGTAAGTGGTTGCTGCGGCCCATAGACATCTACATCTATCCTCTGTTACAAATCAAAATGTAGATGCGTTGTCACCCGTGAGGACTAAGATGGAATGCCTCATTTCCAGTAAAAAGGGCCTCCGGCCACCTGCACTCACGAAGCGAAACGCAGAGGTAAATCTCTATTTCACGCTGGTTTTTTGTGAGGTCGTGGTACTACCCCGGTTCGAGCCGGCCCATTCGTGCGACAGCAAAAGCTGCCGCGTGGCTCTACCACTGTTACTTTAACTAACGTGCCACGTTCTTCGCGGTGAAGGAAAATATCGTGAGGAAACCTGCATATCTGAGAAATAAGAAAAAAATGTTTCGAAGACATGTGAAATTCGTCAACACGCATTGGAGCAGCGCAGCGGACACTTCTTTATCCTAAAACCCTCCCAGAAATAAGAGGAGGCCTGTGCTCAGCAGTGGGACATATTATATAGGCTGTAACATCAACTTTAATTTTTTACTTTAACTAATTAAAATTATAAATTTAATAAAATTAACACATAAGCATCAACCATGGCGCATAACTATTTAACTGCTTCATCTCTATGTATCAGTATCTATAGAACACCTATTTACACTTGGCATAATATACAGTTAGCGCTACGCTTGCTTATAAAAACTCTAAGATATTGAATAATATAGAATTTCATTATTTTTATAAAGTTGATTGCAAGCGTCCAGAATACAGTGGGCTTTTACCTCAAGGCTAGGCTGTTAGCTCATTGGACACAATAAGTTTACAATATAAGTAAATTAATTTCAACACCTAGGGGTATTTCGTGGTTGAGCCAAGCTGCAGCTATGCCAGCTATATTATTCCAGCTATATTATGCCAACATAAAACAACTTTATTACATTGTTAACGAGGCAATCCGTATTAGTCCTCTGGGATGAAAACAACGCATTTGCATTTTCATTTTTAATCAAGAATCAACAATTCAACAATCAACATCATCCACTTACCATCCAGCTGAACTGTGTAGACCTTTTCACTTCGTGGAATTGTCACACTTTTTATAAAATTACCTGCACACTAGGATTTTCTCCTGTATCGTAGAGGTGGTTTTTGTACATAAATTTATGAAGGGTTATTTGGTTATTTGGTTTGGTTTATTTGTGGTGGTTTAGAGCCCAGCTCACGGCCTTGGCTAGCTACCTCGCTACGGAGCCGCCAAAATAATCTTCGCTTCTTTATTCAGTCGTACTATTAAATGCTAAGCTTTCAAAAACTTAAAAGCACGGATCTTTAGTATAGTTCCTCAGCTTTTTAGAAGATGTTTTCTTCCTCGCACAACTTCCTTGTGGAATAGTTTACCACCAGCAATTTTTCCGGACCGATACGACTTAGGGACCTTCAAGAAAAGAGCCTACTCCTTTTTAAAAGGCCGGCAACGCATCTGCAACTCCCCTGGTAATGCGGTTGTTCATGGGCGGCGGTAGTCACTTACCATCAGGTGAGCCGCATGCTCGTTTGCCCCCTCTCCTATAAAAAAAAGCTACTCCATGCTTTGCGCAAAAACTACCTCGAAATTTTACTTTGAATGTGGATCTCCAAGGTCGCACCCAATTCATTATTTTATATTAATTCCGAACCCGCATCCTTCATAATAATGTA